AACTGGGTTGGGTGTGAAAAAGTATTTGTTGTTAACATTCTTTTTTCATTCGGTTTTTCCAGTTACGAGTCCTTTTTTAAAGCTGATCGTTTTGTGTTCTTTTTGTTTAGTTCTTTTTTCGTAACAGATTTAATGTTTAGTATTCGCAGTGTGAGAAGTAAGGCATGTAGCAACATCAGCACGGCAAAGGTCTCTCCTTTAAAGGCAATGAAGGGCAAAAATATTTTAAGTCAAGTGATAGCGATTGCTGTATGAGTCGTACGATTTTTTGAATCGAGCACGGGCAACGCCAGGCCATGCTGCTAGTATATATATATATATATATATATATATATATATATATATATATATATATATATATATATATGTGTGTGTGTGTGTGTGTGTGTGTGTGTGTGTGTGTGTGTGTGTGTGCACGAACGAAGGATTCTAGAATTTTTTTTTTAAATCTTAAAAAAAAATGTAAAGTTCCCAGTATCTCTCGTTCATGGCAACAAAACAAATTTAGTCTGATGGAATCCTAAGAGGGGAAACGCGTCACACTAAAGCCTTTTTCACTTTGGCATATATTTTCCCAATTCTCTTCTTGATACATACATACATACATACATACATATATATATATATATATATATATATATATATATATATATATATATATATATATATATATATATTATTATTATTATTATTAGTATTATTATTTAATAATAATTATTGATGATAAAATATTTAAATTGGAAAGATTTTTTATATTTAAGTAGGTGTTAATACATAAAATTACCTGAGAATTTCGGCACATGAGTATGAGCGATTGAACCTGTAAAGGGACGTGTGTATATGTGATATTTGCATGGGTGTGTATACAGTATATGACAGAGCAAGATCTTTACTATTACCTTCAAATATTACCCCATATCAACTTAACTAAAATTTAAGTAAAAGAGATTAACTATCTAGAAACTGTCACGAGTTAAATTCATGAACAAAATTCAAACGGATAGAGATGTCAACTTAATAATCAATAATAAAAATTTTTATAGAGTTTAAAAAAACGATTACTAGAAGTAAACTTATATTTTAAAATAAAATTTTATTCTTTTAATTGTACTTTCTATGAATATTTTTCTAATCGACTATTTCATAGAAAATCCCCAAAATTTAAAAAAATTTAAATCACTAACAAACATCAAATTAAATTATTTGTAGACAGTTTAGAGACATTCAAATTTATATCAAACATTATAATCTTTATGAACCCCCAAAATAACACTCTCAAGGTAAAACAATATAACAGCGTCTGTTTCTAGCCTTTTTTTTTACAAAGAAAATTAGTGACACCTTCTCTCATAACTTCCTTCTCTCTTTTTCTCTCTATGAGTTCTTTCTTCTCTACCCCTTCGATATCAATATATAACTTCCGTTAAGTTAACCATTTAAATGTGTCAATATCTGCTAACTCACTCATGTCTTCTCTCTCCCCTTACTTCCTCACTTCGTTAATTTACATATGTTTAATACGGCCCGTCAAAAATGTGTAAATTTTCTTTTCATCTTTTGTTTGGAAGTAAAGTCTGATGATCCGCAGTCCTGTAAAAGGGCTGTAGTGAAATAATTTATTACATGGAACCTTAAAGTGGTCTGTTTTTATTTAAATTATTTGCTCTCGATTTACATTGAGCTCTCTGGATTTTACCCTCCTTAGGTTTACCCATACGGATTACCTAGTTTTTATATATATATATATATATATATATATATATATATATATATATATATATATATATATATATATAATATTGGTAAATATACATACATATGCAAAATATATAAATACCCATACATGTATATTTTTTTAATAAAAATTCCAAGTGGAAGAATCCAGGTAGAACTCAATGTCCAGGACAGAGTAAGGATATAATAAAAAGGATTAAACACTAATATTCCATGGTCACAATTTATTCCACCCACCTCTCCTAAAATTCTCTCTGTTAAGGTTTAATCTCCCTCCCCCTCATACTTACACTCTCTCTAAATTCTGTTTTTATTTCCGGAGTTGTTTTTTCAATTTTCTTTTTGAATTTGTAGGTCTGGTGAATTGTATCGTATTTACGATTCCAATGGAATAAATTATGACCATGGAATATTAGTGTTTAAGCCTTATTATTATTATTATTATTATATTTATTATATATATATATATATATATATATATGAATTTACCATTTGATCACCCTCTCTTTTGAAGTAGTCCGTTTCTAAAACCCCACAATTTGTCCACCATCTTTTCCATTGACGGAAACATTCATGAACTTCTCTTTTGGGATATTGAGAAGCTGTTTCCGCGTACTCTTTTGGATTTCCTCGACACATTTTAAAATCCTGTTCGTATCAATTAGAATTTGAATTTTGCAGAGGAAAATAGGGCCGATAATATGCTGATTGTCGAACCAGAAGAATGGACCTAAACTGCTTCAAAAGCCATGGTTTCTGGAAGAGC